CGCCAGAGTCGGTCCGAAGCGGACAGGCAGCCGTGGGAGAAGCATGGCCCGTCGGTTTTCCCTGATGCGGTGCCCAACTGGGTGCGGGTCTCTGGGGCCCATGAATCCGAAAGACCGTTGGGTCCAGTGGCCCCGGGTCGAAAGAACTCTCTGAGCAGGTTCCCCCTCGAGCCAGGCTGTGCCATGGCGGGTGGTGCTGGTGGCGGAGGTGCACAGAGTCCGGGGACAGACAGCTTCCAGAATACTCTGAACTGAATGACAATTTTTAAAAATTGGTCGCTGACAGGCTGAGGGCGTTTGTTTTAGTGCCAAATATCCCGAGAACAAAATCCTTTTGAAAGGAAAGCTAAGTCGTTTCACGCCACCCAAATGCAGATTTGGCGAAGAATGACTGATGGGACAAAGCCGCGGTGTCTGAGCGCGGATTCCCAGAGAGCGCGGAGAACGGGGGCAAATGCAGGAGGCGGCTTGGAAAGGTGGGGCGGGCTGCAGGAGACCCTAAAACCTGAAATCCAAGCTGCGCCTGCCTTCGACTTCCCCCTCCCCCACCCTCCCAGTACATTTCACAGCCCATTGGGTGGAGATGAAAAACGTGGAGGGGAGAGGGAGAAAAAGGGAAACGAAGAGAAACCAGGAACACGGGTGCAGTAGGAAAGGGGAAAGGAAGAGATGGAGCCGAGACTCAGACTGGAGGCGGGGGAGACTCCAGGAGAGGGAGGGAAGGACTTGACGGAGAAAGGAGGAGGAAAAGGGGGCACAGGAAGGCTTAGCCGAAACGCTCCAGGCAGCGCGGAGTTCACTTTCCAAGTGGGGACGACAGGGTATTGTTTTTGGCGCCTAGGAAACCTTTGGAAGCTGCTGGATACTTTCCCTCCACCCCAGCCCCTCGGTGTTTGGTAAATATTAACAAACCAGGGCGCGTTACTTTCTGGAGTGTGGATGGAGGGGCTGGCCCGGCTCAGTACGATTTTCCTCTCCTAGCACCCCCGCCCCCAAACGCCAGCCCCACAGTTCACGCACACACACACCTGCTTGACAACAGAAGGAATCAAAATCAATATTGTATTTGTCACCTCTCTGTCTCCTTTTTTCTCCCTTAGCAGCCCGGGTGCCACTGAAGCGAATTGTGGATTTATGGAGGGAAATTAGCATAAATTATTACGAAATCTGTAGCCGTGTGTGGTCCAGCTTGTGGGAAAAGAGGCTATTGCAAACTCTCCAAGCAGAAAGGTGGTCGGTGGTGGGCTCCGCAGAGGCGATGAATGGCTATTGCGCGAAAGAGATTTCCATTTGGTTTGCACATGGGTATAATTGACTTATGTGTATTTTATACAGTTTTCCCAACAACTCCCTAAGCCTCCGGCTCGGATGTGCCCCCTCCCCAAAGCTTCTGTTTGTTTTGGGTTCTGTACAATAGACTTTGATGCACTTTTCAAGATTTCTGTACAGTTCTCCTTCCCCCTTTTCTTCATAATAGCAGTCTTAAAACGCTGTAAATAGCATGAAACCTTCCTCCCCCTTCTCCTGAGCTTTGTAGATCTTCAGTAGGAACCAAGACACAATGTTGTAGCAAAGAACAAGTTTTAAATGTGCATCTCACAACTCCTCAAACTTGCGCTATTAGGTTCCATGTCCTGGTTTCCTTAATTAACGCTGGGCACAGGCAATGAGCCTCACCTCCCTTCCTCACCCTAGACAAACTTTAAAGATACCTCAGGCACGAATTCCTACTTGTAACCTTACATGTTCCAAACTTGGTGGTGACAACTCTCCTGGGGAGATAGACAAAGATTTATTCCAACTTGGCTTTTTTTTTTTTTTATTTAACCCAAACGTTTCCACTCTTAGAATTTAGTTAATCTTCTATTTACTCCAAGCAATGATTTCGACAGCCATACAAAGGTCCTTTGCAAGGCAACAAAATGCCAATTGTTAAAACAAGAAAACATTTCTCTCTCCCCATCCCCCACCCTCAAGGCGCGCACACAGTAGAGAAAACCTTACTGGCTGTCACTGGGGGAACAGAGACCTTTCATTCCTATCGTCCCATACCTCGAATCCAACCACTCAATATTTTTTTATATTCTATATATCAGTATGTGTATATTTGCTAAGAGAATCCTAAAAAGTCCATAGGGACTTCGTGGCTGGTACCTCTCCCTCCCAGGAGCGCCCTGCCTCGCCCGCAGGAGAACCTTCTGTTTGGTAACTCTGCCTTCAGAAGGAAAGCTGTGGACTAACGCCTTTTTGTCTGCGAAACAGAAGTCGTCGCTACTGTTCAGTCATCAGAGGTCCCTCAGGCTCTGGTGCTCCCCAGCTCCTCCCATTCTAGGACCCTCAATCCCAACCCGTCTGCACCAAGTAACCCCCAAAACGCTGCACCTCCTAAGGAGCTGAAGCACACACAGCTCTGCCAAGTAAGGCTGCCACCAGCCAAGGCTCGGCAGAGATCCACAGGGCTCCAGCTGCTTTAGCAGTTGAGAGTTTATCTGCCCTTCAGGAGCCCTGCCCCCAGAGACAGGTCAGCGTTCCTCCCCCAACCCCTCCCACCCACCTCCTCCTCCTGGTTATTTTTTCCGAATTAAGAAGGTGACATTATTCTTTTCTTCAAGCACTTCTGTTAATATTGAAAAACGTGCGCTTGCATCTCAAGCGAGGCAGCCCAGACATGAGAGCCATTTCAATATTAATGAAATTGTTTAATCTCCTAAATTCATCGTGTTTAAGTTACGTTTTGGTGAGTTATTGACCAACTCTGAAACTGGTTAATGGAGGTGTGTGTGTGTGTGTTTGTGTGTGTATGTGTGTGTCCACTCTCGTTGGAAGACATATTTTTAAAATGATAACCCCAAATAGCTCCACTGATAATGCTGGAATATCACTAAAAGTGTCAAAACTGCACACCCAGAACTCTCCCACCACACTCACCACCACCACCACCTCCTCCTCCTCCTCTTTAAAAAAAGAAAAAGAAAAAAAAAAAATTGTTCTCACATTTCCGGACTGAAGATGATTCAGTGTGGGCTGTAGGTATTGAGTTTTTAACAACATGACAAAAGAAATGTCTTTTAAAAACCATAAAGGTAGAAGAATGTATATATAGAAACCAGTGGGAACTCCCAGAGTCTACTCTTAGACTGTGTGCATGCAGGTGAGGTTGACTCACTATTTCATAGCAAACTGATAATGATCATGACAACAATGATGGTGGTAATAATAATAATAATAACAACAACTCATTGAACCTCCCAAGACAAATCTGAACAGAAGGGAACCTGCCACTCTGCACCAGACAGGGTGACCTGAGACACATCCCAACCTCTCCTCTCTCCAAAAAAAGTTAAACTCTCTGGTCTTTGCAAGTCTAGAAGGTACTACTGTTTCCGTGGGGCCGCGAGCAGATTTTGCTGGGCTCTCTAAACCCTAAATGAGTTCTCTCTATGCAAAAATAAGGGGGGGGGGTAGTTCCGGCTGTAAAATGCAAACTTCCAGGCAACACCTAACTACTAAAATTCAAACCACTGGGGAAAGCAAGAGGCTCTGAAGTTCATCTGGTGACAAAGTGTGTCAAACAACCTCGGGCCCTCGCCAGGTCTGTACACCGTCTGCTCCAACAGCCCTGGAGCCTTCATCCTGTGTCTGATCAAATTCCTGGAGAACTTTTAAAGTGAAGACCTAGCCTATTCGCCAAGATACACTACTTTCATCTAAAAAACAAAATTTGGTCAATACAGTTAGATTCAAGATGGGCTCTGATGGGGCTGCCCGACTCTACTTTTGTAAGTATCACTCACCCACAGTGCACAGCTAAGGCAGCAGCCTAGGAAGGTCAAATCAAACGTTGACCTGCCTCTTGAAGGACTGGGGGGAAGGGTGTATTTTCATTATAATAACCCATGCAACCAGCCCAGGGTAATGCCAAGCGCAGGAAAAGGGTCAGCTTCAGGGGAAAGCCATGCCTGAAGTTAGCTAACAATACAAACCCGGTACAATGCAGAGAAAACAAAATACCCCAGCCAGGCAATTTCCATGTCAAACATCATCTGCGCTGCAGCTCGGTCTGTGAACGTGAGTGGTCGCCTGAATCCCGGCTTCGCTGCCGCTGCCGCCTCCTCATACCTTCACATCGTGCACCCAGGCCAGCGCGTCCAGCTACCCGCGGTGGTCGAGGCTCTTCCCCCTCGCCCAGGCTGCAGCTGGAAGTGATTACTATTGGCCAAGGTGTCCATGTAAGTAGGTGTGAAAGAAACCGGAGCTGGCCAGGCTCTCCCCTCTCCCTCAGTCCCCTCCCTCTGCAGCCCCCGCTCCCCCTCCTCTTCCTCCTCCCAAGGCGATTGTCATATGATAGCTAAGAAGTGGCACATTAATGAAGCGCCGCTACAGGGGTCTTTTCTGCTCCTGTCACCGCTTAAAACTATCAGATGGTTCGCGGGAGGACATGGAGGCAGCCACCTAGCTCAGCGGAGCTACGAAGCCCACAGCAGCGCCCTCCGGAGCCCCGAGGCGGCCGCAGCCACTATTCGCGCCCAGACACCGCAGCCGAGCTCGGTCGCCTGCGGAGAATACAGCCAGAAGCGCTGGGGAGCAGGCGGCGCTGGGCGCTGCCAGGCTGAGCTGAGGAGCCCAGAAACTCGCAGAACCCAGTCGAGACGGGACACTGTGCCCCGGCTGCTGTGGGCTGGAAGGGACACGCCAGCAGCAGCACCATCCCGGATGCGCACGCTCAACTTGGAGCAACTTTAAGGTGAGCCGCTGTCGGTTGCATCCCTGCCCGGGTCCCCGCTCCAGGTCCGGCTTTTTTCCGCGTTACTCTTGCGCCGCTCGCCCCCCTGGCTGCGCCCCACTCTGCACGCAAAGTTGCTGGCTAGAGAGCGCGGGCGTGGGCTGATCCAGCACCGCAGCCCCTACCCTCCACGCCCGAAGTCTGCGCTCGGCCTGGCTGACCTCGCGGTGTCTGTCTGTGCATCCATGCCCCCTCCCCTTATCTTTCCACTTCTCAGATCTGAGCAGCCGCCGGCCCGCGCTGACCCAGAGTGAGAAGGGGGCAAACAAGAAGATGCCTCGGCCCGGCCGCAACACGTACAGTGACCAGAAGCCGCCCTACTCGTACATCTCGCTGACCGCCATGGCCATCCAGAGCTCGCCCGAGAAGATGCTGCCGTTGAGCGAGATCTACAAGTTCATCATGGACCGCTTCCCCTACTACCGGGAGAACACGCAGCGCTGGCAGAACAGCCTGCGCCACAACCTCTCCTTCAACGACTGCTTCATCAAGATCCCGCGGCGGCCAGACCAGCCGGGGAAAGGCAGCTTCTGGGCGCTGCACCCCAGCTGCGGGGACATGTTCGAGAACGGCAGCTTCTTGCGGCGCCGCAAGCGCTTCAAGGTGCTCAAGTCGGACCACCTGGCGCCCAGCAAGCCCGCCGACGCCGCGCAGTACCTGCAGCAGCAGGCCAAGCTGCGCCTGAGCGCCCTGGCGGCCTCCGGCACGCACCTGCCGCAGATGCCCGCTGCCGCCTACAACCTGGGTGGCGTGGCGCAGCCCTCGGGCTTCAAGCACCCCTTCGCCATCGAGAACATCATCGCGCGCGAGTACAAGATGCCTGGGGGGCTGGCCTTCTCCGCCATGCAGCCCGTACCCGCCGCCTACCCGCTCCCTAACCAGTTGACTACCATGGGCAGCTCGCTGGGCACTGGCTGGCCGCACGTGTACGGTTCCGGCATGATCGATTCGACCACCCCCATCTCCATGGCTAGTGGTGATTACAGCGCCTACGGTGTGCCATTGAAGCCGCTGTGCCACGCAGCGGGCCAGACGCTGCCCGCTATCCCGGTGCCCATCAAGCCCACGCCGGCCGCAGTGCCCGCGCTGCCTGCGCTGCCCGCGCCCATCCCCACCTTGCTCTCGAACTCGCCCCCTTCGCTCAGCCCCACGTCTTCGCAGACAGCCACCAGCCAAAGCAGCCCCGCCACTCCCAGCGAAACGCTCACCAGCCCAGCCTCGGCCTTGCACTCAGTGGCGGTGCACTGACCCGCAGCGGCCGGCGCCCCCTCTTGTTCTCCTCCCCGCTAGCTCACTCGCCTTCCCCAGCGCCCAGTCCTGCCCTCCCCGATCTGGGACCGCCACCCTAAACGTGTCCATTTCACCTTCGGCCAACCACCTCTCTCCCCCGAGAACTTTGTTTTGGACCCAGGAGGCAAAACACAAACTTGCAGATGGGCTTGGAGGCGCGTAGGAGTTGTCCTCGCCCCCACCAGAGGGGAAGGCAGGGGGCACCTGAGCCAAACCGTCCCATCCCCGTGCCCCCCGAAAACCCTCCCACTTAAGAGGCAGGGGATATCCTGCCACCCGCCTTCGCGGAGAGGAGCGCATCTTTCTTCCGCCCGCGCTGGCGGGGCTCCGGCCTCTGCGCAGTTAGTTCCAAGACCAGAGAAACCGTCGCAGAGTTTTCCTCGAACAGATCTCCTCTGAGGGCTGCAGCCTCCCATCGAGGGCCGGATCTTTCTGTTAAATTCTTGGAAATCTGCTGCGAAAAGAGACCACTAATCTTCCTACCCCGCTCGCCACCGCCCATCCGGCAGGGGCTGGGCCGACCGCAGCTCCCCGGAGTACCCGGCCTGCCTCCCCGGCTTCCGCAGAATTTTTTGTTTTGGGTTTTGTGTCCTGCCAGGGGCTCCAGGCGCTGGGAGTCAGGGGAGAGGCTGCCGAGCTGGGAAGGGGACGCCTGTCCTCAACACAAGCAAAACAAAACTAAAAGTAACCCTGTCTTGTTTACAAAGCGCCCGGTAAAATGTAAACAGTGAACTTGAATCTGTATTGCTTGGCGGGCAAGGGGGCAAAGCCCACTTTACAAGTACCTGTTGTAATGTGAATGTTTACTTTTAATTTCTGGCCAGGTTTAGGGGAGGGAAGGGGGATGGGAAAGTTAATTGGGATGATAACTTTACGATTACTTAGAGACCTTTTTAGCTATTTATTTTATTGTTGGAAGGGGGGCAGAAAAGAACATGAAATAAGCCCAAACTAAGAAAGTATCAAGGGCAACCCTAGAAGAATTTAGATAAGCTGACTGCTAACTTGAAGGAAATGTCACCGGATAGGTCTCCCAGGGACAAGTCCTTCTGTTGGCTACAAGAGTTTTTCCAAGAAGCTAAGGGCTGCAAGGAGGTGTAAATGCTTGTGAATAGGAATGATTATACACTGTGTAAAATGCACTTTTGTTTGCTATATTCCTTTAGAGTCTTAGGTAATTTGCTGAAAAATGAACTGTTGTTCTGGTGTGACCTGCTTAAGTTAAAAAAAAAAAAGTTGTAGTGTCATCAGAGCTGTAAAATTTGTACCTTTCCTCCCTCCCCCTCCTTGTAGAGAATTAGCATGGCATTTTAAATACGATGCTCTTGTTCCCAGCATGCCTGTTTTAAGACAGAGAATTTTAAAAGGTGTCTACATTAAATTATGAACCTAGTCCAAATAATATTTTCTCATTAAAATATGTAAATTCAAATTTTAGTTTTGTGTGTTTTTGAAGAGTTCCTACAAACAATCACTTTACAGAAGATGGAGAAAGTGCTTCTCTAAGCATGCTTTCTGCAGCACATTGTCCGAATAGTTTGTCTTGTTTATATTTTATTTTTAAAACAGTCAAACCTTCTCTTAGGCACTCACAGATTGGGGAAAAAATTATTCAGATGGACTCTTGAAGATATGTATGCAGAGGGAAAGAGGAAACAGACTATTTCTATCATAGAACAGGTGCACAGGTGTAGTGCTGAAAGAAAAACTTATTGAGAAAATATAGTACTTCATATGTATTTTTGTATATCTTACAATATACATTTTACAAAACATATTCTGCACTTACATAATTGTAAAGCTATGTAGAAATCAGGTAGATGATATGGAGATACAGAAAGGAAAAACAGACTGTGCTTACACAATGCTGATATCCTGACTCATTTTATTTGGAATATTCTTTTCCTTGCTCCTTTAAACTATTGTAGTTGTTGAAATTTTATTTTTCAGAAGTTACCTAAAAGTTCACCTTGAACGTTGAAACCTGTCCACTTTGAGCAGATTTCTTTTTTATGACTTCATGTGAGAAAATAATGCTTGATGCATTTATTTTAAAGAAGTGAATGAAGTTACTTAAAATGCTCCACTCTAAGTATTTGCTTTCCTTCAGATATTTGCAGAGAATTAAAATTTGCCAAGAATTTATGGCTCCAGGCCAATTGAAGCTTTATTGAAGGGCTCACCATATTTCCAGAGTGAGGGGTGTATTCAACTAATGAAGTTGCAAGACAAAGAGAAACTTAAATGGTGATTAACACTTTACTGTGTAAAATGATTAAACAAGAGACAGCAACACAGGGAAACCCACATGGAAATCATGATCACTATAGTCCATAAGGAGAATCCTTAGCGCCTGTGACCCTTATATATTTAGAGAGCTATCTGAAAAAATATTTCAGGATTAATGCAAAGGGTAATTAATCCTGTTGTGACCATTTTTTTTTTTTTTAAAGGAAGGATCCCACACACAGCCAAAAAAAAAAAAAAAAAAGGTGGAAAATAAATGAATCATTGGACTGATTAAAATGCATGAAGCTAAAGCTCGTCAGACAGGAGACAACCAAACTCATTCATCAAGCCCAATTCACAATTATATCAACAAGATCAGCTAAAGAAAGGCTGTAAAACTTGTCCATCCTGGACTAGGAAATTCTTGAAACTTTGTTCTCAACAAGAAGTCATCTGCATTTTAAAAATTCTAAATACAGTTTCATCATTTTGGACAAAAAAAATTAAGGTCATCTCTGGATATTTTAATCTCATTGATTTTACTAACACTGAATTCAAAATGGGAATGAAGGAACCATATAGACATGGGCCTCAAATATTTTATAAATTATCAACTTAGATAGTAAGGTAAAATTATTCTTCCTAGAATAGCCACTAGAATTCAGAATTAAGTGGTGTGCACATACATACGTTTAATAAATGGAAGTAAAGAAGATGCAGCTTTTATTTCTGATGTTTTAGCAAAGGAGTGATTTCAACTCAGTATTTGAAAATGTCCTTTTCAGCTGGTAAGTTCGTCATGGTGTGTTGCAAAGAATGAAATAACTTGGGCATTGTGAGCCCTCCTTTCACAATTGCAGGCATCTTTTCTCAGACGAAGTTGAATACATAAAGTAAAAAATTCATTAATGATTTTTTGACCTTGATCAGAAATCCAAAGGCAGCCCAAACACACATGCCTCCATCCCACTCAATCCCCAGCTTAGATTTACACCTTGTTTAGCTGAAGTGCCCCACAAATAAGGAAGTTTATAACTATGATACCTTCAATGGCTCTCTTTGTCATGTTAAATCTTCTCACCTGGCTCAAGTCCAAAGTCAATACACACAGCTTTAAAATAAAACTGGGAGAGACATCCCCATACAGTGAGGTGTATGCTCAAGGTCTTGAGAATAGAGTTCAGTTTTACTATTTTCTATGTTGTAAATTTGGGCAGGATTGATTTTTTTTGTTTTAATTTAGGTGTTTGATTTTGGAAACTTGGCTATTCTGTTACTTCTGGTTTTTAACATGACTCTGCACTCGATTGTGTTTTTCACTGGCTTTCTCTGGGAGTTGGGGAAATGCACACACAATGGATGAATTTTGTACACTTTCTCAAGAAAGAAGCTACAGAAGTTCTCATTACTCTTTTTGCTTGGGTTGGGGTTTTGCAAAGTGTAAGACTAGCAGAAGAAGTTCTAGTAAATGATCCCTAGAATAGCTTAAATACTACAGCGGCGAGTTCAATGCCTTTAAAAGAGACAGGAACACTGAGTGTCTTGGAAGCATAAATGTGGCCAGGTGCTCAGGAGAAGTGAAGTTGGGGGTGGGAAAGAGGAGGAATCCAACCAAGCGCTGCAAACAGAAGGTTTTCCATGAGCTTATGCAAGGTGGGGAGGGGAGGGATGGTTTTGACTTTTACAAATGGAAACTCCCTTTGTACAAGGTATCCATTTAAGAAAGGGCAGGGATCTCGGTCTGTTCAGATTCTTAACACAAATGTCAATTAATTTTTTTTCTCCTAACGCCACATATGCACAGAGACACCCAAACAAAAAAACAAAATAAAAACAACCCAACCCACCGGCTGTGAAGCCTCAAAGGGAATGCATTTGTTTCTTTTAAACTAACAACAAATTATCTAATTAATATGTTTCAATTACAGCATGAAAGGCACAGCCCCTGGACCGCCCGCCGTGGGGGCACAATAGCCCCAGAGCCCACTCTAGGAATTTACAATAACTTCACATCTGTTTCTTTATTTTCCACTTTTTGAGTCTAAAACTCCTCTCAAGATCACTTCAAACCACGGCCCGAGTTATGAAATATGTCCCCGTGTTAAAGGGGGACGAAACTTTGCCCACGGATGCTTCATTTGCAAGCAAAAAAGTGAAAGCCCATTGAAGAGCATTAAACAAATATATTAGAATTCTGTCACTTTATGCAATTGAGTAGATCAAATGAAGGGTCCCGGCCACTTCATTCACTCTCATTCACTCGAATAGAAAATGCAAAGAATAGCAACCCGAGACTGGGCCACCGATGTAGATTTAGCTCCTTTTTACTGGGAGACAAAAAGGCTGAATTTTCACAAACACATTGCTGACTCGGGGACTAGGAAACCGGCACTGGAACCCCTTTGGAATTTAAATTCATTTTATCTTCCTCTCCCTTTGCGGGGATCTGTTTGCACTACAGTGTAAGATGCAGCAGGCATCTTTTGGCTCCTGAAAAATGGGGGAGGGGAAGAAAGTGAGTGGGGGGTGGCAGTGTGGGCCTCGGGATTCCCAAGGAGCTCTTGGTGATGGACTAACACTCAGGTCTGAGTTAATCACTTTGATTTAAACAAATCTTTAACTACATCAATATAAACACTATTATATCACACACATCTCCAAGTCTCTTCCTCCTTGCTTGGCATGGATTACATACACAGCTTGTTTTCAAAGACCAGAATTGCATCTGACTCATCGAGTTTTCTTCTTTCAGCTAAT